CAGAACTGGACGTGTGACGCACCACCATCCAACGCAGGCCTGCGAAGCTGTGTGAAGCTCGTGAGTGGGGTGAGCTGGAACTTGGTGGAGTGTTGGAAGACTGAACTGCTACATAGACATTCACAAATTCCAATGTTCACTGAATGTTTGTGCAACGCATCACCACACCAAGCCTCCTTGCTGCGAAGGGTTGTTGAGATATAGGTGGGATCATCCTGCAAAAAACATGACTTAGCACACATGAACCCTCAAATAAAACATAGATGGTCCTGAACGCCAGAAACTGACAGCGGGAGCAATGCAGGCACCTGAGAACTTGTTTCCTACACCACTTAGTAAATAGGTGCTTAGGCTTATGTTGTGACATCGTGACACTCTGTGGCCAACTTTCCATGACAGTCAAACATTGGCGAACGATGTCTCTCCTCTCACTCTGTCGCTTGGCATCTCTGAGCTGTGCGCCACGGAAAAGCATTGTGGACATGGGTGTGGCCTGGCCCCGAACCCCCCGGTGAACCTGTAGCCGCCGTGGCAGATTGATGCGGTTTTCGCATAACGCTTTTTGGATCCGAGAAAAGGTTCCCATGTATCCCATGTTGGGGATAAGATTTGATATGATTTCATTCAGGATGCTTGGTAGGAAAAGATAAAATTACATATGACACAGATACGCCACCAGCCCTTTAGTTTTTTGTAACGCACACTCACCTATGATACGCGCAGAGCTTTCAAAACAAACAACTCCATGTCATAGAGTTTCCTTGTCATGTTTCAACCAAGCCTAGACAACAACTGTGTGAGTGTGAACTTTCTCAAAGCAAATACTGCCATGCTCAGATGGCCGCACGGGCTCTCTTTGCTATTAGTGATTGACTTTGCTGTGATCCTGGCCAGTTGGCATTGTGGCCATGGATGGTAGTGGAGCCAAGTTATGTGGGAATGTGGGGGGGGGGGGGGAAGCCAAATGCTACCAATTGGGGGCTAAATGCCACCAATGTAACTTCTGTCTGAATCCAGCTCCCAATGGTCCTTGAGGACTGCAGCCAAGTCGTCCCTATCTTTTGCAAAGTTGGACAACTTCTCCAAAGTCGTCACCCCGTGGTGGTAGAAGAGCTTCTGGTTATCGATGCTCACCTCATGGCGCGAGAAGAGGTACTTCAGGTCTGTACCCGCTGCCTCAAGTGCCTTGTTGCCCTCCGCCTCCGTGATCACGGTACGCGGCATTTCAACGCTCTAACCGGAGCGCCCCGCCCTCCCTGATTGAACCGATCAGGATTACAGCATGCGATGCTGCTAAGACACAGCGGTGCCTATCCGTGCATGCTATGCACAAGACCGCTCACATGCGATGTGACTCTGACTCCGTTCGAGGTGCGACCCCGCCTTCTCCTCCACTGGTTTTGCGATTGCGCCTGCTGCGCTCCGCCCCAGCGCCTGGGCGGCTCGCCCGGCCCGGGAGTCCTCTACCTCCTACCAGTGGCCCTCCCAGGGTGCGACCTGGCTCATGAATGTGTGCAGCTGCCCACATGCCCGGCCCCTGGGTGCGACCCAAAGGTCTTCAACTGCGCTTCACAGCACCCCCTTGCGGCTCAGACGACCCCTTTTCAATCGCTGAGACTGAGTTCGTCCCTTGAATCACTTGTGGATTCACTCAAAGGCTCGCTGCCTCCACTCCAGCATAGTTTGCAACGGAGCGTATACTCTTCCGGCTCTGGAAGCTCCTTGTAGATCTCTGACCTTACAAAGACTCTCTTCTTTGCCATCCAGCAGCCCTTTTCTCCGAGCCGATGCAATGTACCGCGGCCCGCTCTCCTGTACACAATGACGTAGTTCCCCTCACGCTCCTCGTCCAGTGTCTCATTCAGCCTCCTCTTCTTCTGCTCTCCTTGGTGAAGGCTCTCAGCTTCCTTCTCACTTTGGGATCCATCATAGATTGTCGTGTCATCATCCGACTCCTGCAGCACTGGCCTCGGCCTGTCCTTGACACCGAGCTTCTCCTTCCAGGCCTCTTCTGCTTTTCCGGCTTGATCCTCAGGCACCGTCCACTTCTCATGAAGCCAGACCTTGAGCTCCTCGAGGATTGCACCTTCGTCCAACTCCTCATAGGCCGTCTCGCCCCTCAGCACTGCAACGAGCTTCCTCTGCATCTTCCTGACTATAGTGTTGTATGTTCGAACGTAGACATCCGAACCCTCCGGGCACCACCTGCCAAGGAGATCCCTGTTTGCCTTCTCCACTCCCAGCGCTGCCAGGCCACTCGGCAGTGTTGCCCTCTCGCTGTGCTCCGACCAGAACCTTTCCCACCCACTGGGGATAAGGCGGCCATGATAGCCCTCCAGCAGCGACAATGCCTTGGAACTCCCAGCCACTGCCTCGGCATAGGTGACGTGCGACGTCCCGTACCTCGTTCCATAAAAGCAGCCCTCGGGGAAGACGTACGTCCGGTCACGCGGCATCTGCAATTTCACCAGATCGAAACCAACTGCAAGCCAGTCGTCATGCAGCACATAGGCCTCCTTGGCAATGAAAATCGGGAGCTCCCTGACGCGCTTTCCAGCACCCGTTGTCTTCGATTGATGCATCATGCCGATCAACTGCCCATCATAAAACCTGAGCTCCGACGTTTTCAAATGCGCAGCATCATCAAATCTCATAGACCCCCACAGCTTGATCAGTTTGAACCATGCACAGATCCTGACCTCCAGCGACATGGCCCCGTCGATCACCAATGTCTCCATGGGGGCCACAAAGCAACCCATCCAGCGAGGCGCTCGCCTGACGGGGGGGGGCCTTTTGCTCCAGCTTTCGCGTCAACTCCTTCATCACCATCTGCGGAAAGGCTTGGGACATCAACTGCTCTTCTTCTGGGGTCCCTGCCATCCGTTCGAACCAGGCAACGGCCGCGCTCACAGCCAAAGGGATGGATGGACCCATCCCTTCTTCTTCCCTCGCGTACATGTAGTCCACGAGCATCACACTGGTTGGCCTCTGCCCGGATCTTCCCATGGAGTCTGTCCACTCTCGGAATCGCTGCCACGAAGCAAGGTACCGCCTGACCGTAGAAATACGGTACTTCCCTAGCAAAGCCTCCTTTGCCCTGGTCGGGTTCATGGATTTCTTCACCTCCTCAAGCACCGGGGCCCGGTACTCCATCAACTCACCGACCAACTTGTCCAAGACCTTGTCATTCACTTCGTCCTCGGCAGCAACTCGCCCACTCCGCAGTCTAACCGTCCTTCCCAGCGTTCCCCTCTTTGGAATCACTGGGATGGCCGCAGCAGCAATGCTAGGCTCGAGGGCCTTCTCCTGCTTCTTCTTCTCCTGAGCCACCCCGGCATCCAACAAGTTCTGCACAGCCCTCGAAGATGACGAGCCTGCCAACCTATCGTCCAAGTCCGCCATCTGCACGGCTTCCCTGACTTGGCCCGTGATGAACGTCAGGTGCCAAGGCTTTGGTGCCAGTCCCAACCTATCTGCCAGCTGTCGGGCCAACGTGCCCTCGCTCCCATGGCTCACCGCCAAATGAGCGCCCGTTAAACCTACTTCATTGAGTAGGTTTAGAAACTTCGCTGATTCTTCAGGATCGGGGGAATAAATTCCCCCCTCCATCCGCAATCAACATGAAAGTCACCTGCCCTCGAGCCTCCAAGCAAATCATGCAAAATACTGTCACAACACGTCGTGAATGTACTACTAGTAAGGCACTTGTTACTAGTAGCGATGCCCTTTGCTCCTAGTAGCTTCTTTGTTACTACTAGTAAGGCACTTGTT